CCAGACCTAGAGAGACTGACAGTTGTTTTGTGTTTCTTACATTTGCAAATGATGGCACCAACTGTTGTGACCTTCTCACCAAGGTCCTTGGCGATAGTTTTGTAGCACAGTCCAGCCTTGTGTAGGTCTACAATCTTGTCCCTGACATCCTTGAACAGCTCTTTAGTCTTTGCCATGGTGGAGAGTTTGGAATTTGATTGTTTGATTGCTCCTGTGGACAGGTGTCTTTTATACAGGTAACAAAATGAGATTAGCAGCACTCCCTTTAAGAGACTGCTTCTAATCTCAGCTTGTTACCTATATGAAAGACACCTGGTAGCCAGAAATCCTTCTCTCATGAACATGCAAATCAGTGCATAATTTGTTAGACATGCATTTCTTTAGAATTGTTTTTTGCTATTCTGTCTACCATTCTATTTTTAGACTGATCATTTCTTTGTGAGTGAGAAAACATTCAAAATCAGTAGGGGATCAAATACTTATTTCCTTCATTGTAACTATGTATATGACATACCTGGCCGATGCACTGGAAGCTGGAAATCACTGAAGTACTACTACTTCATTGAGCTCCACTTTCTTCTATGTCCCATGCTGAGCGACCGGACTGATGCACTGTAAATACAGCAGGTCGGCCACTTGGCATGGGTGCCATTCAGAGAATACTTTGCATCTTCTGAATAAATGCAAAGCGTTCTCTGATTAAATAAGGTAGAGAGCATGATGTCACCATCCACCTCATCCAATCAGAGAACACTGCATTCAACCAGTTTCTGCTCATTGTTAGATCATGTCTAGTACAAAACTGATTATGAATGGAAGTGACTTTTTCATTTTTGATCACCTGATGCACTTGCAGGCCTCTAAAGAACAGAGTGGCAGCCACTGCATTCCTTTAGAAGGGATTAACCCTTTAGGAGAATCTCCTCAAAACTGACATTTTTGTTGCAGAGGATTCCTAAAATCCAACCTTTCTCTCAGTGCAGACTACTGTGAAAATCAGTGAGCCAATTGCACAAGCAGGAAATTACATTTCTGGGGTAGTTCCAAACAGTTGCTTTCAGGTTGCCATATTGTTTTGATTTTTAAATACATTTATAGCACTGCAGACTGAAAAGGAAATACTTTTAATAATAATAAATGACAATACGGCTTGTTTCGCAATTGTGTATGCTATATTAATTTTTTCTTATTTGCTAAATGTTTATCTTTTAAAGAGCATGTGCTTCCAAATATAACTGCAGAAAGCCTGGTGTTTAAAATTAGTTCATCGATATCTTAAATCGAAGGTTTATCATACACCGGTCAATTTTTCCAAAGATTATACAAATATTTAATGGTAATTTGACAAACACGAACAACAACATCCTGCATACAGAAATGATTGCTTACAACTGAAAGAATTGGAAGATATTGATTGCAATTAGTTACCAATTCATTCTCTGCAGATGATTGTTTAAAGTGCACAGCAATTACAATCCCAATGTTATCAGCTATTATTCAAATGACAAACTAAAGCAACAATTGCTCACCCTAAAATTGAGCCATATAACATCAAATAACTCTAAAAAATAAGCCTCTTTAACTCATTCTAATAAAGAATTATTGTTACGTCTTCTGGAAACCAACTTGAGAAATGAAAAATGAAATCTCATTGGTTGCTCATCAAATGAAAACTCTAGCTTAGCATATAGTTGTTTAAGATATCAAATTTCTCTTATTCTGGAATTTCCAGTATGAATTTTTAAAAATATGAGTACATTAAAGTGGACCTTTCCCCATCTTGCTAAAATTCACCCAACATTTGTTTCTTAAAAGTAAAAAGTTTGGCCTTAAAGTGATTGCGAACATTATTGTTTTTTTTAAATATTAAACATGTTATACTTACATGCTTTGTGCAGCAGTTTTGCACAGAGCAGCCCTAATCTTCCTCTTCTCGGTTCCCCCAACAGCGCTCCTGAATTCTCCCAAGTGCCTCCATAGCAATCTGCTTTCTCTGAGGGCACTTGTGCACGCTCAAACACGCTGTGCTGCCTCCTGTATCTATAGACACAGACAATGCAGCTCAGCCTTGCCTCCCATCTCCCTTGTCACAGGATTTGATAGACAGCAACAGGAGCCAATGGCTTCTGCTGCTACACTCTGCCCAATGAGGAGAGTGGAGAGAGCTGCTGCTCTTGGGCTCAGCGCTGGATTAAGATCGGGCTCAGGTAAGTATAAGGGGGGCTGGGAGGAACCTGTAGCATAGAAGGTTTTTTACCTTCAAAAAATGTATTAAGGTAAAAATAAAACGTGAGCCTTTACAATCACTTTAACATACCCTTTAAGGTGTCTGCCTCCTTGTTTCCCCTAAAGGCACCTTCAGGGAGATCTAATTCTTATATTTCAAGATCTTGTGTGATCTTCCAGTATTATCATACTACGAATGTGCGAGATGTAGCTCTCAGATTCTCAGAATATCTCAGGGAAGGCTTTTTTTAATTGGAGGTTAATTGGATCCTGTCTAAAACTGGCCCTAGTATGTGTATGTATGAATGTAAGTTAGGGAATTTAGATTGTATGCCCCTTGTTAGGGACTGATGTGAATGTACAATATATATATAAAGCTGTGTAAATTGACAGAGCTATATAAGTACCTGCAATAATAATAATAATAATAATAATAAAAAATAAATGCACAGTCGGCTGGCACAGGGAGCAGAGAAGGAACTGCCAGCCGACTATGAAATAATATTTTAAAATTGCAATGCAGGAGGTAAAAGCAGGAAAGTAGCAGCGTGATAAATGCCAACGTTGCATAAAAAGCTGCATGGACTTATGCACAGTTTTAGCTACATATGATTACTCTGTATTGGCAAATTTTAAGGGGGGGGGGGGACAAAGTCAGCTTTAAGACCTGAAATAAAAAGAGGTGAAGTGGAATGATACCAGAGCAGAAATGAATTGGATAGAATAACTGCAAAGAGTGCCCAAAAAAGATCTGCTTCTCCCTGGGGTGCATTACACTGAATGCTGTGACAGCACAGACATCATATTGAACACTGAGCTGAAGTTCAGACTGGTGCGATAATGTCATGTATGAAAGCTGGGAATGCCATAACACCTGACACTTGTTCCACTCCTAATCTTACTTTAATGTGATCTACAAATGAATCTATTATCACAAGGAAGCAATGCTCGCCATAGGGTGATTAGTATTTATTAATAATAATAATATATAATATAATATATAACATAATACATGTAATATATATACATATATATATATATATATATATATCCAAAGACATGCTGGTAGGTTAATTGGATCCTGTCTAAATTGGCCCTAGTATGTGTATGTATGAATGTAAGTTAGGGACCTTAGATTGTACAGCCCTTGAGGGTTATGGACTGATTTGCATATTCAATATATATGTGTAAAGCGCTGCATAAATTAACAGCACTATATAAGTACTTGAAATAAATAAATATATATATACAGTAGAAATTGTATATTTTGGGGGAGTTAAAAACAAGTATCATTATCCATAAAAAAAAAACGAGATTACAAAAAAAAAACAAAAAAAAAAAAACCCTTGTCACTGGCATTATACCTGTTTTCTTAGATTCTTAGAACAGTGTAATTGCAACTTTAATTGCTTCTAGAATCTGAATACACAGCCTGAACTTTTTAAATAGCTGCTCAGTAGAAAGTTGATTGCATTTTCTTTGTTGTAGTTGTTCCTTTGTTTTAAATGGTTAAATTTTAATTATGTGTGTTTAAAGACCATTTCCATGTCAACAGAAATGGGGCTTAATCAGCTCCCTTGGTAATAAAATAGAGTAAAGGTAAATATCTGAAAAATGCACTCTTAGTAGTTCAGAATGAAAAAGTTACAGCTACATGTACCTGCCACAAAGATCTGATATAATACACTTGCAAATATATCTAGAGTGTTTTTATGTTGTTATTTGAAAATAAACTGAAAGGTGTCTTGAAGTATTAGTCTGATGAAAAGGGGTTTAGCCTAGAATCCTGCTGACGTGTTTCTTTTTTATGTACAAGAAGGCACAGTATGATTAAACTTCTTTCTTCAAAGCAAAGAGTAAACATTACCTAATCATTTTTCAGCCCCTTGTTACTTTGACCCAAGAAAACACCTTTTAAAGCGAAGCAGATGTCTTTGTTTCAAAACAAAATCATGTATCAAAGGCTGCAACCCGCTCTTGATTAGTTTGATCCAATTTTTGTCCAGAGTCAATGAAAATGATTAAAAATGCTTCCATGAATGAAACCTGAAGCAAACAAGAACTCCAGGCAAATTATGAAAATTATATACACACTATATTGCCAAAAGTATTGGGACGCCTGCCTTTACACGCACATGAACTTTCATGGCATCCCAGTTTTAGTCTGTAGGGTTTCAATATTGTGTTGGCCCACCCTTTGCAGCTATAACAGCTTCAACTCTTCTGGGAAGGTTGTTCACAAGGTTTAGGAGTGTGTCTATGGGAATGTTTGACCATTCCTCCAGAAGCGCATTTGTGAGGTCAGGCACTGATATCAATAGAGAAGGTCTGGCTTGCTGTCTTTACGGACCTTTTATGTCTTTATGGACCTTGCTTTGTGCACTGGTGAGCAGTCATGTTGAAACAGGAAGAGGACATCCACAAACTGTTCCCACAAAATTGGGAGCATGAAATTGTCCAAAAAGTCTTGGTATGCTGACGCCTTCAGAGTTCCCTTCACTGGAACTAAAGGGCCAAGCCCAACCCCTGAAAAACAACTCCACACCATAATCCCCCCTCCAACAAATTTTACACTTGGCACAATGTAGACAAGTACCGTTCTCCTGGCAACCGCCAAACCCAGACACGTCCATTGGATTGCCAGACAGAGAAGCGTGATCGTTGACCCCAGAGAACAGGTCTCCACTGCTCTAGAGTCCAGTGGCATCGTTCTTTACACCACTGCATCAATGCTTTGCATTAAACTGGATGATGTAAGGCTTGAATGCAGCTGCTTGGCCATGCAAACCCATTCCATTAGGCTCCCGATGCACTGTTGTGCTAATCCGAAGGCCACACGAAGTTTAGAGGTCTTTAGCTATTGACTCTGCAGACAGTTGGCGACTTCTGCGCACTGAGCGCTTCAGCATGCGCTGACACCTCTCTGTCATTTTACATGGCCTACCACTTCGTGACTGAGTTGCTGTTGTTTCCAGTTGCTTCCACTTTGTTATAATACCACTAACAGTTGATTGTGGAATATTTAGTAGCAAGGAAATTTCACAGATGGACTTATTGCACAGGTGGCAACCTATCACGGTACAATACTTGAATTCATTGACCTCTTGAGAGCGACCCATTCTTTCACAAATGTTTGTAGAAGCAATCTGCATGCCTAGGTGCTCGATTTTATACACCTGTGGCCATGGAGATGATTGGAATATCTGAATCCAATGATTTGTAGGTGTGTTTCAATATGTTTGGCAATATAGTGTATATACATATTGTTATATATATACTTCAACGTTAGAAAAATAGGCCATGAGGCCACTTCATCATCTGGAGACCCCAGTAAATAAATTATAAAGCCAGCACCAACAAAATACTGCTGTTTATGGGCTACCACATCCCATCATATATATTATATATGATAAGAAAACATAGGTTTTATAACACTAACACCGCAAAAATATAAATAACGCACTAGCATCAGCATCCGGTTCCAAAAGAAACAATTTATTGAACAAAATTGAAAATAGACTAGCATACCCTTTCCCATTAAAAACCTACTCACTGAAGATCCTCAGTTTGGTACGCATAAGTAATGAGAATAATAATGTAGCTCCTCCAATTCCCCCCAAGGTAACTAGACCTGTCTTGAGACCTTATATTATTCTGCAAACATGAGAATTTTGAATCCATGAATAGACATATTGGGGTTGATTTACTAAAACTGGAAAGTGCAACGTCTGGTGCAGCTGTGCATGGCAGCCAGTCAGCCTCTAACTTCAGCTTGTTCAGTTAAGCATTGACAATAAAACCTGGAAGCTGATTGGTTTCTATACAAAGCTGCACCAGATTTTGCACTCTCCAGTATTAGTAAATCAACCCCATAAATACTGTATTCTTACTTAGGCAATTCCAAAACAAAGCTCAGTATTTGCAACAGTTATTCGTTGTTTCCTTTCAGTAGCAGAGACTAGAACAGGGAAATAAGAAATGGAGCAGTGGAACATTGGAAAGTAAAGAAATTATATTGATAATGACATTCTCAAGAGATCACTGTTTCTATATAGCATGGTTCCAGAAAGCCGTGAAATACTGAAATATCATCCAATTGATGGTGTGTCACATATGATCATTTCCAGCACTAATAAGTGTCCCTAGAGATATTCATGCGTTTTGGTTGTTTATAAAACTCCAAACCAAAAATGTAATATATTGCAGCTTACCAATTCTTAGATGGGGTGACTGCATCAGTTTTCTTTTCTTAGGCTTTTTCCCTCCGTTTTCATATGGTGATCTGGCCAGTAATATACCTCCTGTATTAGAGTGACCCCACTTGGGATGAAGGAGCACAGGAGACACCTTTGGATAGTAGCATTGTCAATCTGGGGGGTGGGTGTTAGATGTGCTAGCAGATTTAGATACACCTTTGGGATAAAGGTTTTACAGGAATAAATAAAAGCTGATAATTGTAAACACCACTGCCAGTGTTAAATGGTTTATCTCACCTCTGTAACTGATGCATTCTGCTGGAGAGCTTGTTTTGTTTAAAAAACAACAGACTTACTAGACAGATCAACTGATGAAAATAGACAAAAGCCTAAAAAAAGAATGCAGCCATCACATCTAAGAATTGGTAAGCTGCAATAATATAAATGTTTGCTTTTGCATTTAATACTGCTTTAAAGTCAAATTTCTTCTGATATGTTACAGGAAGCTCCCAAATGTTAGACTGGTCAACTTGGATATTTGGAGGAGGCTGAGTGCAATAGAAGGCATTTTTGTGAGTTAAGAATACATGAATAGATTTTTTTGTTTCACCATCCAGATCCAGAGACAACCAGGCTATTAGTATATTCTAAAAAATAGGAAATAAATAGCAGCATCCATGATTGCCATAGCCCAGTTTTCCTTTAAAAGACTTTTTTTGAAATAAGGATTGTCCCCCTGATTTTTATTGGAATAAAGTTGTGTCTGGACCTCTTTTTTTCAATTTCCATTTTTGTTACATTACAATACAAGCCAAGGAGATTGTGGAGATCCTCTTGAGCTGGGTTTCTCAAGCAGAGTTCCATGGGACCTTAGGGTTCCTCCAGAAGCTGCTAGGGGTTCCTTGAGCAATGAGCAATTACAGACCCTCAGATAAGTTCCCACTGACACTATTGATCTTTTTAGCTATCTGTAAGGGGCTAATTCATCCCAATGACTACAAGTGTAAGAAGCAATCTTTCCACTGACCACCACACAAATGTATCATGAGTTGTAGATATAGTAATTTTTAGCAGGGGTTGCCTGAGACCGGAAAGTTATTTTAAGGGTTTCTCTGTGTTGAAAAGGCTGAGAAAGGCTGCTCTGGAGTGTACAAGCTGCCTGTCAGGGAACCAGATTATATACATAAACAAAAGTACTTTAAGATAGTATTAGTAGAGAAGTATCTCTATAGGTCCAGCACTATTTTTCCACTTTCATCAACTGTTCCTTTACAAAAGTCCACCCAAAAAGTAATATTTTATTCTTACATGTAACCTAGTGGTCTCAGTCAACCCGTGTCTTCTTTTATGTCTTGGGTTCTCAAACAGTGAGACCTCCCAGCTATAATTCCTATCCACCTGGGAGTTGTGCGTGTTCCCTGTTCACCTTTATGTGTTCCAACACCTTTGCTGCATTTTCTATAATATAAAACTAATTTAAAAAATCCAACAAGGAGGGGTGAGAGTCTCCTAAAATGACTACAGCAAGTGTGGAGGCCCAAGTACTTGAGCCCAGATATCCCATCAAAAGAGCCCCTGGAAGATATAAGAAACTTTCAAGTGTATCAACTCTTCAGCAACTACCAAAAACTGAATTATGTTTTGGGAGGATTGACCCTTAAAATGGAAATGTGATAACTTCCTTTGGCTACTCCATTCTGCACATCATCAAAGCCCATTGTTCTTCTTTACTGAATGAACACACCGTGCAAATTTCTTAGTTTGAATATTATTTTGCAGCGCGTCTTTCATGAAGTCATTCAAAGGTAATAGGGCTGTCCAAACACCATTTACAATGCCCGTCCATGTTATAAAGAATGAGCAGATGAAATAAGGGTGGGACAAAGTTCCCTCTATTTACCTGCCAGCCTGCCTCACTCAGCAGGATGTTCAAAAATGCTCAGGCTGCTTCAGCAGATTCCCAGCCCACAGCAAAACAAACATGTTTGTTTTACATCAAAGAGGCCCTAGCAGTTTAGAACAAGCTATAGAATTTAAACACTGATAAAGGAATAATACTAAACACACAACAGATCCACAGAAAAATGTATCTGAAGTTGGCATTGGCGATAACTGCATTTAACGCTTCTCCTTTTTCTTCCCCGTACATGAAAAGCAAACACATTTTCCTGATAATACTCAAAACATAATTTCCTGTGCTTTATCTCCCTAGTACAGAATGACAAAGGAAAGAAGAAAAAGACAGGTACAGAGATCCCGAACATCTTCCCATCCAAATAAATTAACATACATGATTTAACGGGGAGATAGGACAGGGAGGAACAGCAAATTATCTATTTACATAATTGGAACATAATTGCTTTAGCAGCTGGAAGAAGGCAAATGAAAGCCAGCAAAACAACCAAGTCTAGCTCATAAACCACACAGGAGGACTTCGTCCTTATTTATGTTTTGCACTTGGTCAGTTCTAACAACTAGTGCCATTTATACTTCATGATACTTGACATGGTTTCCTTTTACAGCTGAATTTTAGGAATTACATTTTTCACCTACTTACGAGGGTCAGCTTGGCTGGATGATATTATCCATATCTGATATTCTGAGGGTCACTGGGGATGCTGTAAACTACTGTACTACAGTAATATATGCGATCTTTTGGGTTTGTGTAAGCAGCTTCTACTCTGCACACTGAACACTGAGTCGCTTACTTCGGATCTCCACCACTCACAGAACACCTTGTATTTTTTCAATAAATACAAGGCTTTCTCTGATTGGATGAGCTGGGGATCATAGTATCACTGCCCTACCTCTCCACCTTGTCTAATTAAAGAATGTTTTATATTCATTGATAAAAAAAATGTTTTCTATGAATAGCAGCAATGCTGAGTAGCAACCCCTTGTGATCAGTGTGAAGAGAGGAAGCCGCTCACACAGGACCTGGTAGATTGCAGCTCCGACTGAATGTAGCGTAAACTACTACAGTGATTTAAAGGATCCCCAGTCATCCTGTGGATGTCAGATATGGATACTTGCATTGAGCCAAGCTGTCCCAATGTAGGTACACAAAAATATAGTTCCTGGAGTTCGATTTCAACATCACTGACTAAAGTTGGCCATAGATTATGTGATTTTCTTAAGAAATTCGCACAATTCCTCCATCAACACAGTCAGTGTTGATGGGGGGAATCCCTCCCGCTGAGCTACTCCTGATGGGTGGGGCACGGGGAGCTGTCCCTGCTGGGTGAACACAGTGATTATTGCTAGCAGCTATAGCCACTAGGAATAATCACATGAAAAATCAGACAGGCTGGTTGTACCCAAGTCATACTACAGTTGAATTGGGTACAATCGGTCTACTCATAGATGGTTTGATACTCAGCAGATCCCTGCTGAACTGGCCAAGATTCAAACCATCTATGGCTGGCTGAAATGCACATAAGCTCATTAATTCCTGCAAAAAGGACCTATGCCAAAATGTACACTGAGCTGCACTTGCCAGTGTTCTATCACCTGAAGGTAGTGGCATATACCCATGGTCTAAGGCAGCCCATACATAGTCAGTTGTTTTTGTTCAACCAGCAAGTAGATCTGAACCCTCAGGACCAAAGAATCCAGGGGTGTGTAGGAGTTGCAGGAAAAAAACTAATCAAAAAAACATTGTGATTTCATTAATGGTAAACTCCAAATATTAAAATGACAATTGAATCTAGCTATGCCTTCAATTAAACACAATTACATTTATTTTACATACAAGTACCTAAATCTGTTTTGAGGATTGCCTCCTGTAATCCGCCGTATGGCAGTACTCACACCAAAAGAGATAGAGGCAGAATTTGCAGCCAAACATGGCTCTATTGCTTTGCTCAGTACTGTCGGTTCAACACTAAGAATGTGCTTACAGGAGGGAAGAGCATAGAGATGGCCCTATCAGTGTGCCGCGGCTCAGTCGTTGTTCA